CCTAGCTTTCTTCGATTTTGTGCCGCGCTATTTCTCAGTGCTCAAGCTCTCCTTCGGCCTTATCCTGATGATAATTCGGTTTGCGCCATCAAAGGTGGGATGGTACCTGGTGGGATCTCCGACCTTTCGCAACTAATTGTCATTGTCGTCTTGTGCTCCAACAGACTGGTAGGAAAAACCGAATCGGACACTTTTTACTGACAATCTTTACTAATTACCGACTTCACTATTAGGAGCGCTTTGGCTCTCACCGAAATCCTCTCCAGTATTGAAACACGATTCCTAATGAGTTTATACATGATTCGATCCATTTCTTCACTTGTCTTGTTAATTCGCCAAATCCTATATTTTCGTTATAAAGAATTCTATCTAGTTTGCTGTTATTGCTCTAGCAATTGCTGAGTGAATCGGCTATTTTGGCCTGTGCTATGCTAACATCCGTGATTATTTGGATTTTTGACCATCCATTTTTAATCAAATTTAAGGAACACGTTTGTACTCCTTCAAGATCTGGCAAGTGTGCTTTGCGTTTTTAAACACTGTGTAAGCGTCCAAACCCGACCATCCACATATACTGCGCAATATTGTTAAGCGTGCTTTCATATAAAGCAAAGGTGCATACCAAGAGTACGGCTTTCATTTGTAGGTTGACTATCTCGACGTGCAGCTTGCAAGCTATGACAAGGATGCGATTTTTCTAGTGTCGCTTAAGAACATCAAGAACGTTACTAACTCCGACAATCGATTAGTAATTGAACCAATAAATATAGGCCGAACAAACAGGCTATTTTCATCAATGCAAGCGTAGCTCTTCACGTGGAATTAATTAAAGAGAATATGTGTCTGTCTGCTGGTCTATTTTAAAATGGTTCGATTTTATTCTACGAACTGATAGAACTCCTTACGTTTCATTTTATCACTCATGTTACATTTCAGATTTGAGCGATCTGTCAAATATTTGCTTTAGACGCCGCAATTATCCGAAAAAATGTTTTACAGAGCGTGTCTGATGTTACATTTTCCACACTGGTTGAAATTGATAGCGTATTTCAACGTGCAGGGTGTACGGGTTATGGATTGATTAAGGAACGGGAAAATTGGAAAAGTAGCACGAAATTGGCATTACACTGGCATTTAAATGGGAGAGCGAGATAACTATCACAAGACAAACGAATAATAATAAATCTAAACCTAGAATTCAGATTAAGTCCCTTATATCAACAAAATAAATCAGTTGATTAACAAATGTCAAACTAGTACAAAGCCTCGAGCTAGCTTTATATAGGCAATTTTTTTGGATCCTTCGAATATAAATTTCGAGGTCTAGTCAATGATGTTTCCAAGCAACTAGCCCCTACAATAGGTCAAGGGCTTGGCTGCAATGCAAAAAATACTTTACTCAGAAAAACGGGCTAACTGCCGATTTGTCAGTCTCAACGCAGCTTCACGTATCTAGGATTTGTATTGATTTGACTTGCTGAAATGACAGGAGCCAAAAAATTTAGGGCCAACTTCGGTGTAGTGGGCGTAATGTTAGTTATCCCCCACTATATTTCATTGAAACTGACCTACCACATAGTAATACAATATTTATTATTAAGCTCTATGGGAGCTGCACTCATAATATTTTTTATCAAATCTAAATAAATACTGCAGGGACTGTATTGTGGGCACACATAAAAACTGATATAGGAATGAACTCAAATTATATATTCTCTTTTGTATGGTAAAAATGACATTTCGATACATGCTATTTTATTTAGCTTGAGAGTTGCATTACAAATAATATAAATGCACTTTTTAAAATTTTTCTTTCTCCTAAAACCGAAAAGTTAGGTACTTATTAAATAAATAGTACTTTTGTTTATATAATATTAATCAATATTAACCCTTTTTCGCAGAAAAGAAATTGTTTTAATTTATATATATATATATATATATATATATATATATATATATATATATATATATATATAAAGCATAGCAGTACGAAAATTACCCACCCGAAATAAGATAAAATTGACTAGCAGAAAAATGCCGACATTGATATTATTTGACGAGGAATCTATTTATTACATTTTTATTATTAATAACTATAGAAGTATAATATATTGTGAACTATATATTCTTAGATTTGGCACAATCTATAACTTACTTTAATAAACAGTCTCCTGTAGGATTAGTGAATGTCGAGTACAACTTGAACGCGTCGAAAGAGTATTTTTATTTTCAAGAACATTTAAAAAGGGTATTCGTTTTCAAATTTCGTTTCATTCGTACTATTCGGCTACTTTTGCGTACTGCGCTTTCCTTGTCTACACTAAAATGATAACAGCTTCGAGCTTTAAATAAACGTGGCCACATTATTATGTAGCGAAAGTTCCATTAGAAGTATATGGACACTAATATTGGCAATTTGCCTGGCATTGTACTGTATCGGCAAGAATAATAATCTTAATAGTAACAATCATTTTTTATTAGGTTCGAGGGCTCTTTGGCAGTTTGCTCTCTCCCTTTTGCAGCCCGAGTCAGCGGTTAAGGAGGTCACAACGAGAATTCGTTCGCAGATTCATTCATTCACTCATGGCGGCGCCCGTGCAGTGCCGATAAAGGCATTGTGTTTTTTCAGAAATCTGTGAATTGTGAATTGGTAAGTGCTCGTAAATTACTGACCCCATTTCATTTATAGATTGGGCGAGATATTTGACTGGACGATTCGTATACTCATGCTTCTGACAAAACTGTTATTCTGGGTGTAAGCCCATTTGCTAGTCTGTAATACTTTTCTCACTAGCGCCATTCGGCTACGTGGAAAACTACGACCGTTTATTACGCTAAATAGTTTTCGTTCGCTAATATTGAAACATAAAAAAGGCATCCAATCAACTTTAACTTTGGTAATCAGTGCAAAACGACGACCTGTTTTGGCGCCTTGCAGCAACCTGGCGGCGAGGAGGCTGCGACGTGTGAGTGAGTGAGTTGCTGTCGAGCGCTACGTTCGTACGCGGTCGGCACTTCGATGTTGTTGTTGCCGCTACTCCTGTAGTAGTACAACGATACGCAGTTATAAGGTGATGACGATTTACATAAATCAATGATGAAGGCAACATAAGCTAAGAGTCAACTTTCGACAGAAGTAATTGGGTTCTATCAAATGGGAATTGCAGTAAAGTGGCAAGCAAGGGCGCTTCGCTAAATGTAAAAAACTTAAAGAATGCTTTCGTGTACTTGTTCAACTGAAAAAGTTGGTTTCTTTGCCTGAATCGAAACATCCTGGCATAATAACAGAAACTAGCCGAAATGATAAATTTGGCGATCCCTTGATCTCTATCAGCTGGTTAGGGTAGGAAATGGCGCGATTCCTTTATAGACTGCTGCCTAGACTGACAACGCCGATTAGTCAATTGACGTTATTTACAACCAAAGTGAAACTATGGAAATTATGGTCGTAACTTTGAGTATTATGTAAAAAAAAGTGGAACAAGACACGATTTGTGTAGCTTATTGCCAATAAATTGCTATTTGTAGCAATAAGATACCTCAAAGGTTGAAAGAGAATTTTACAAATAATTATATTTTTTTACTAATTATCACGATAAGGAAATACGCGATGAGCCGGTTGTACCAATCGGAAAGTGCAACAAACAACAAAGAAAAAAAACTACCAAAAGCGATAACATGATGGAGATATCAGAGCATGATTTTTCATGAAAATTTTTAAACGATGTACAACATTTGACTTCATCTTATGCATATTATCATTTATAACTTAATCTATAGAATTGTCTTTGAGGATGGGCTTAAATAGTGAGAAAAACAATTGCAATGCGCTAATTTGACTAGGTAGAAAGTTCCAAATAGTATAGGCTAAAGAACGAATCTGACGATTTCAAACATTATGAAAGCACGACGCAACTAATGATGAGAATCACTACCATAAGCGGTATTAGAGACGTACCAGATACTTATGACTACAGGTATTTGTCAAGAATGTGTTTTAAAATATCGAGACAAAACATTAAATGTTCAACGTAGAAGGCAAACGGCAGAATGTGCAGAGCTTTAAACATAAAACAGACTGTTTAGATGGTGGAAGGGGGAGTAGACATAAGTGCTTGTTTTTGAAGTTTATTATAGATTTCATTCTGTGATCGTGATTTAGGTCTAAGCATTCGATTCCGTAAATATCCATAACTCCAAGAAACACTTGCTTAAAAGAAAATATTTGTTGACTTCATATATGAGGTCGCAGTATGTTTCTCTTGCCCATTTGATTACACCAGAGACAATCTTCGGCCATATATATATATATATGAAGTCTATATAATATAAGCATATAATTAGAGCAGTTCTTCTACAAAATAGGTAGTATAAGGCGTAATGTGCTACCAAGTCGCCTTGGAGTGTATTTGATTTTGTCAAATGATCTATTAGTAAAAAAAAAACTTCTCACTCACATGATTTCTTCACGTGAGTGAGAAGTTTTCAGGTGCGACCTCTGTATAATCACCGGATTCCTGTTGATATACCGCCCATTAATTTTATGTTAGTAATTTCAGCCGCAGCCACCCGATGGACGAGTGCTGTGGGCGAGGTGCTGCCGGGAGCTCGAGCAATCGGCCTTCATCCCCACATTACCGTCATCTAATCACCAATCTAACCTTAACGACGACATTCGGCGTCCCCTGCACTCGGCAGCAGGGAATAATCAGTGGTTTCAGTTGCGGTCCTTCCTCTATCTTATCTCCATATTTGTTTAGCCATAGCTGTTCTCGTTGTTGGAACTTCTACTGGCCATCTAAGACTGACTCATCGGTGGAGCTGTTTGTTGATACAGCAGTTGGAGGCTTACAAATCGCGCTAAACAGGCTACCTAAAGCCCTAGTTACATTAAGGAGTGCTACTGCTGCAAGCTCAACGCTTACGTTAAGGTCTCGTAAATCTAAGAAATTTAACAAATTGCAACCTTGTTGTTCCACTTATAACTGGACGGTGGCACGACCATTTTAAATAAAAATATGAATCGTCCAGGAGTTCCTTTAGACCCATTGCCTTTGGGAGCAGGAACCGGGGGCCCGTTTAGCGGAGATCGGCTACAAGAGCTTAGCGCACTTCTAGGTCAAGTGGCTTCTAGAAGAGCTCAATCACAACGGGGTGTAGAGGCAGTGATCAAGGCACGAGAAAGGGCACTACTTGAGAAGAAGATTTCGTCGTCGACCAAGTAAGTGTATGATAATTATATTTCTCTCTTTAGATAAAAATTAAATGTGTATCGAATTCAAAAAAGGTATACATAGTCGTGAAGATTACAACAGTTTATATAGGGCTCACATAAATTATTCAATTTCTAACAAAAAGGGTTTCTTTCATCTATATAGTATAACCTTTGGTTGTCCAGTCTCTTAGGTTGTACGATATGCCCGAAATGATAACAAAGAGCACTGTACACGTTTATTGGCAAATCTACTTATTAATGAAATCGTTGCGTTAGGGAATATAATCAGAAAGGTGGTTCAGTTATAAAGAGAACATAATGTGCAATAGCCAGAATGTATATATATATATATATTTTTTTTTTTTTGAGAAATCTTGTTTCATGTTTTTATGCGGTGTGATCAAAATGTAAACTGTTTCGATTCCCCCCAATACAATTGTTGGGGGACTCGAAACAGTTTTATATATAATATATACGAAATTTATATTAACTCACTTATTCTTTTTGGCTTTTCTTAAGTAATTAGTGAGTAACATCCTGTGCAGAACAATGTGTTGAATTCAAATTTTAAAGGTGACGGGTGGGTATGGTATCGGACTTCCGGCTGGAATTAAGTGATTTTTTTTTCCTTTGAGATTTTGATTCAGCTTTTGAGAATCATATTTGATCAATGCAAAATCGGTATACTCTTTTCCCGTAATATAATTATTATGTAAATCCAAAATTGTTAATTCTAGTAGATAATATTGCCTCTTACGAGGGTCATCCTATTTTAGCAGACAGATTTTAGCCCTATCAAAAAAACGTATCTCAGTTTCATATATCTTAGTATTGTCCCATATTTATTTTCGAAATGCTGTTTCTTATTTTAGAAATTAGCAATCATATTCTAGTTAATTAAAGGCTACTGCCCTCTCTGCTACCACTTATGATGATATATTTTGAACATTGGCCTCAACTAGAGATACGATGCTTCTATGATCTTAGTTTGCAATACACTGACCTGTATTACAAACGAGGCTGCAATGTATTGCAAGGAAAATTGTTCTGCGCATATGGATAGCGTTTTAGACTAAAAAATTTAACAATTCCTAGCGGTATGTTTGGCAATTCGCTAAACATAATAAACTTGTTTTATGGGTTGATTTGTTAGGTCCAAGTTGAAGGGATGCTATCGGGGTGCCATCGAAGACTGTGAGCAGGAGGAGAACTCTCTGCGAAAATCGTTGTCGCTAATTCAGGATATTCAAACAGCCTCATGGGCAAAAAGAAGTACACAGCGCGCTGATCGCCCTCAGGGTGCATTACGTCGAGGGGCTCAAATGCAATTGTTACGCATGTGGGCCATGCAATTGCCTTTGTGGGTGCCGTCGAATAGCGAAAAACCGCCTCCCCTCTGCGGCGCCATTCCCGCTGAACCAAATTACGTAGCTAAGGTCGAGGACATGGTGGCTGCCTTGGTGAAAAACACTGACTCCGGTGAAGGCACCGAAGAGGACGAAAACTGGATTCTTGCCAAGGTTTTTATCTTGCTAACACATTCAAAACAAGGAAATCATCTGTGTATCATTAAAATCAAAATTACGGAATATCCAGATAACATAAATTTTTCATGGAACACTAATTGTTTATAGAAATATTGTTGTATGAAGCTCTCAAATTAAACGCCAAGTTTTGCTCGGAAATGTAAGCAAACCTCTTTGACTTTTATCGGTAACGTTGCGTTGTTGTGATTTATTTTAAAAAATCGCATTATGAACCGATATTAATATATATGCTTTTGTAAGCTTACTTAAATCGAACCTCACTGCATATGTTTCAATACTCGCCGCTAGGTGTCTCATTATAATCCAACGTCATGCAAATATGAAGTAGACGATATAGATGTAGAAGGACGGGAAAGGCATCTGGTATCACGCAGGAGGGTCATTCCACTGCCGCTGCTACGGGCCAACCCTATAACGCATCCTGAGGCAATATTTCCGAAAGGAACGCTTGTAAATGCTCTCTATCCACAAACTACGTGTTTCTACAGGTATGTAACGTGCATACGAATATATGTTCATTTGCTCGGCATATATTTATATATATATAAGCCAGGAGACTAGAGCCAATTAAATCAATTAGTATTTCATATTCACCCATCCAATTACAGTAACTGCAAATTAATTTTAAAAACCTATTGTTGAAATAAAGCTATTCTACATTTACTGTCATCAGAAAATCAATTAATATTAGGATTCTAAAGCAAATTTTATCTTTTCTGATCTTTATTTAAACTACTGAACTGGGGTCTTTATGCATATAGCGTTCGTTGACGAAATGAATCCAAAAAACTAGTCCCGGTTTACGACTCCTAATAATTAGTAAAAATTACATATTGAGATATATTTTTGTGTGAAAGTTTATGTACAGAGTTGCATAACTAATGTACAGCTTTTAGAGGAGGTCGAATCTCGAACGTAAACAATTTGGAAACCTTGGTGCGTCACTTTGACGGTAATGTATTAGAATTCTACCGTTTGAAGCCCGTCAACAACATACCTATATTTATTTTTATTACCTTTTCTTAAGGCAGAAATATGTGTTTCTCAATATAAGCAGGAGTATCAAGAGAACTCAAAAACGTATGTACTTATTTTAGGGCTTTGGTGGATGAAATTCCTCTGGGTCCACAAGAGGAGTACAGCGTTTTGTTTGAAGACACCAATTATCCAGAAGGTTACTCACCAGCTATGCACGTGGCCCAGAGATACGTGATATGCTGTAAGGATCAACGGAAGAAATGATCCAGTGAATTTGCACATCTTCACCATCACTTGTAAAGAAATGCATTTCTTTTAGCTGAAGATGTGTAAGTCTTAGATATTCTCACAGTGTGAGGTCCGGGAACGAATGTTTCGATTATGCTTATGCGTACTCTATGTATGCACATGCAAAACATCTTTACTGCGTGCTTGAAACTTGCTACAATAAGATATAAGTTCTCCCAGAGAAGCATGCATTACAAAATAGTTAGCAGATTTTTGTAAATATACAAATACATGTACAACCATACACAGCAAAACAACCAGCATTGATGGATTCTGTGATTGTTTTGGGGTCACCAGGTACAGAACACCTATGGCAATGTAGGAGGGCATAATGCATAATGCGCAGAATAGTAGGCTCTTCTCCTATCCAGTATGAATGAATACTCTTTTAGAAGGCAGTCCAAAAATGTGTATCTTCAACATCCATTACATTTATATATAGTTATAGTTTTGTATTTATTTTTAATCAGAGAATTATCTGGAGATACCAGGAAAATGTTAACATTAATTGATTAATATGATCGGAGTCGGCCAAATAATATGTCATCTTTTTCCTCATGTCAAGACAAATGCAATTCTTGTAATTAAAACTTAGGATATTCGGTCATGTATCACGAAAATCCAGCTTTGAATGTTTGTTTTGATCCGAGCTCGGTTCATTCTTTTTGGTGATTGCTTTATAATTCAGTTAGGCAAAGAACGTATTTGTACGTTACTTAGTGTGTTAAATAAGGGCCTCCTTAAACATATTTTGGCAGCCCTACAAAACCTAATTTGCTATGTCCTACAAGTTAAAAGGTGTTAATTGAAGGTTGAGCAGACTGTTTTTCTGAGAAGCCTCGTAGTTATTGTACTGTATATTTTTCTTTAAGGAAAAAATTTTTAAAAAAGAAATGGTTTTGGTGCCAATCGACGTTTTGTAGAGCAGATGGCTTTATCAAGCCATCTGCTCAATTAGCCGTGATTATATATCTATATATAGCATGTGATACTACGCAGGTGTCCATAATACTTGAGAAAAGTTTAAAAATCTCTGATATTTCTATGCATCTGATGGCCAAGGTGCTGGAGTCCAGAGCTTGAATGTTGATTACAAAAAATGAGAATAAACTGTTATAGTCATTAAGTTAGTTGGAAAGTCGCAGGACCATCATTTTGGTAGTCTAATGACATCATCGAAGCAGAAGACAGCTTTTGCCCACAAGAAGATATTCTATGATAGTTATTATAATAATTATCATTGTTTTTATTGCTATTATTAATTGATAATAACGTTAATATCATTTGAGGCCTATATATACCATGCTCGGTTTATCACCGTTGTTTACCAAAAGTTAACGCTTGCCAGTAGCGTTTGTGTAGATATTGTTGACTTCTTCGTCTAACATTGAATTATAGAGGTACCGTCTGAAAATGGGCGCTAAAAATACACGCCTATAGAAAAGGAAGTGAATAGTAATATAAGGATACAAAATATAAATTATTAAAGATGAATATATAATGCGTATAGGTATATACGCATGTGTGTATGTGAGTAAAACTGGATGAATACGAGATATGGCCAAATAATGTACATAATGAGATCAGAAAAGTGAATAGAGGAGCCTGTTAATTGTCTGCTAAAACTATGTCACCATAATAAGATCAATATGATACAGTTGAACCCAACAACACGAACGATAACAACAACAGCACACAAAAACAACAGAAAATCCGTTGTTGTTACCGTCTACATTAGTTTTTCTGATAATTGGAACTCAGTAAGTTAGCAACATCATAGTACTTACAATGTATAAAACAGTCATATTTATTTAAAGTGTATTGATCTGTATGAAACGAAAGCATAGGATATTGTTGATGTTATAGGCAGTTGCGCTTGCAAAAGTGTACAAATCTCCATCGGGCAATCTTGTATATATTTTTGTACCGTGCATACCGTTCTTAAAAGCGGCGCTGCATTTTTTTTTTTCGAAACGGTTGCACACGCAGGACAGTGTCCAAATGGCTAGTTGGTGGAGGCAAAAAGCCAAATAAAACGCGTCTTCTAAGCTAATTTCTAGAAATTTCAACCGGACTGGCTAGCAGTTACTACAGCATGAAAAGCAATTTTATATAATACAATTGCGAAGACAATAAAGAACTATCACGTTGTGGGTGATCTGTTTATTGATGAATTGCGTCTTCAATAAACTGAAGTGTGGCCACTAATGCGAGGTGATCAGAAGGCAGGAGGGGGCTGGGAATGGCCAAGTACTCGGTGTGGGCGACGACCTCATGCGGAGGGAGGGGAATCACACAGGTCACTGATAGCTCCTAAGAGAAAGAAATAAACAAAACACTTGTAGAATTAGAGTATGTATAATTTCATAAAAAATATAATGAGACAGATACACCACACACTAGCTTGTTAATGCATTAATTATTGTAAAATCGAGAAATGACATATCGAGAAAATGTTTTCAAATTTAAATGTGACCAAAGGAGAGCCGAAATTTAGGCCCTGATGTAGATCCATGCTTCAAGTTAATCATTTTGGTCGATAGAAAGCTCAGAATTATCTAGTCTGTACGTCAAAATGTTTGTTCTTACAATTATTCAATGAGCAAGATACGGTATATATCATTTACGTCTTTTATCATTACATCTTTATTGATTATAAAAGAAATACTACGATAAACACTAACAAAGAGTTGTGCCTTCACCAATCGTTTGTTGATAAGTAATATGTGGTTTGACATAGGTAAGTCTAGAAGCTTTTCTTATAGATATATATTTTTTTATTCTTGGCCAATCTTCGCCATGTATTGCTGTTTAGTCTCCGTCTCTGAAGCCTTTTGGACGTAACTACGGAAGCCGTGAAGAGTGCGCCTCTTAATAACGCAGCCGCTTATTTTCATCTGGTATTGTTGGTATTTTTCCTTTCATAGGGGGCATCTCTTCCCTCCGCGACAGAGGCGTTTCACCATTTGGTATCCTGAGTTAACACCGTCATTCTTGCTGTTTTGCTAGATTTCCAATAAAATTCCTTTTGCAAAAATGCCGAAATTCGAGCGCGCAGCTTACGACAAACTTATTTATTTGATACCAGCCTTGCTATCGCTTTAACCATTATCGGAACTTAAATTAAATATGCACGCTAAAGTCGTATATATTGGTTCGATAATATAAAATTAATATAAATTGAAATTCTTTCACAGAAGCATAGCATCTGTCTAGCTAAAAATTTTGAGTGAGGATTGATCCGACTATTAGCAATAAAATCCGATAATCTTTTATTAAATGTCTGTGGGTTCATAATATAAGTTTAAAGTTATAGTTCTCCTTAATATATTTGTATGATAAAATCATTCTAAATGGATAGCGGTAATGTTGAGGAAGTTTATAGCTTACATCAGCCGTAACTGGAAACTTTACAGCATTCTCACTAGTATATTATGCGATTGAACTTCGTTGATCTAATGCATCAATATGCCCTGAGCTTACAGTAAAAAAGCCAAAAGAGTGGTTCAAACTCGTCTATGTCAGAGAAAGTATACTATGTACTAGTGTTGTCAATGAAAAATAAGTAAATGCACAATTTTCTAGCATCGGGTTAAGAATTAAATTTAGGCATGCTTTTCATTCATGACACAACTACTTCTTGTGGAGAGAATAAGATTGTATGGGCTAAAATTCACACACTAACGTTGAGGACAATCCGCGCAATGAATGAATTGAAGGGAAGAAGTAACTAGTATTACTTCTTCCCTTCAATTCATTCATTTTCATTTTGATTAACATATACTAGTATGTTAATGGGCTCAGCGCAATTCGCTGATTTTTGTAAAAATAGTAATTGAAACATTTATTCCGTTGACCCATATAGCCTCACAAAATGGGGTTAAATGAAACTATAAGTTATATTAACTTAACGGCATTGAAACCTGTATAACTATTATGATTATGGAAGCCTTTGGTATAATTATCCATAATAAATACTTTAAGATCAGCATTCGTGGCTTGCAATGTCATATACGCTTATATATGCTGGCTCACTCTGGTTAGTGTAGCGCACCGAGTGGTAATGTAAAAGTAAATCAATGTAATGTAATGATTTCCATAAAATGCTCCTCGTTTTCATTTTCTCGTTGGAAATGTGACATTTGACATTATAGCAGAAAAAGGAGCTAATTACCTTGCTCTCTTATTATTTACCAAACATTTGATGAAATAAGAAGAAAAACATTACTATATATAGTTCCTGGACTCAGCTTAAGGAATACTGTTTAAATTTTATTATGACGTTACACTTTCCGCATGCTACAGTTCAAGGTATGTATCTGACGATTATTGCAAAGCTGAATTCGAAAAGTAGAAAAAACTTGATGAGACTAACGTTATACGATTCCGTAGCGTTTTTAAACTATAAAATACCAAGCGTTTTATTGAAATATACTTGCTCATGTTCGCGGAGCTTTGCTACTATAAGAATGACTGAAAATTAGATCGTTCGAAGGTACGTATTGCTGGGCTAATAATAAAACCGCGTATTTTAAATTAGAACGGGAGTGATTACTACCTTGGAATAAAAGATATAATCCAGACATCCTTTAAAATCCACTGTGTAGTTGGTGTAATCCGGCGTCCCGTACGCCGAGCGGAGCGTTTCGTGAATACTAGCTGTTAAACCGGACACTGCCTCCTCCTCACCTAAAAGCGTATCGTGTTATAGAGGCATCTCGTCATTTGATAAGCGAACAGGCACGGCATTGTTATATAATATTTAAGTAGTATTGCACGCCCCATGGTGTAGTGCTTGAAACGCTGTGTTGGGCTATACTTAAACAAAATAATTCGTGTGTCGCATCCTTCTCGAACTTAAAACTGCCGGTCACGACGCCCGAAAGTGGCATGTATCATACGCGTGTTTATTGTGACTCGCTAGGTTCAAAGCCATACGGCACATTAGCGGAATAAATCATAATGGGTGTAAATATATTATCGCATTGAGTTTAAGAGTTTTGGATTGTAGCGCATTTGTTCTTATATTTATGCTTTCTCTCTCATCCAAAATGATGAGGGCCTACGTAAATTTTAAGAGAAACGCCACTGACAAGATTTTTTCATATCAAGTATTCATAATATTCATTCAATGATTTTGATGTAACTTACTGCTTTTCCAGTCAGCAAGACTATGAGGTACTTCTCCCGTTGTGAAGAGTCGATATACGCCAAATTCAGGACAGCTATTAAAATCTCCACAGAAGAGGAGGGCACACTTGGCATCACTCTAAAATAGAGAGCATCAACGTTGTAATAGAAATGGTAATCAGTTGCCTGATTTTATCCTTCCATCGTACTTCATTAAATTTTCTCCTAGAGCCACGACACACTGTGAACATTATTCTTAGTGAAAAAGATGGTGTATTTCAGAGTGTAAGGGAGCCATAGACGGGGATGGAAAAGTTATCTACAGCAGCGAAAGCTAATTACAAGGAAATCTTCGCCAAAACAATGTACTGTTAGCTTACATAAACTTGTTTTACTTAACAGTAATTTTAAATCACAGATTTTATGTATGGATCACACATCAATCAAATGAAATCACATAATCAAATGGAATGACGACCGTGTATATTACACACGTACAAAGCATATGGAATATTAACATTTGACACCAAAATATTTGAATCACTATCTTGTCCTATCTAGTTGCCGAAAAAGGCAGCTTTATCTATAGCTAGTGTCCTCTTAATGCGGTCCTCTAATTATCCGTTCAAAGTGGAAAGGCCTAGCGAAAGCGAATCTAATGCAGTAATAATTTCAAGGTCCTTCAACGTCTTCTGAGAGCCGGTGTTGAGTCAATTATCTTGCCAGTTACCTTTTGCTTTCCACGGTCCTTTTAAGACACCGACCATATATATAGACTTGTATTAATTATCTATTGGAACAACAGTAGTAGTGGTGCTTGCGACTAATCTATGGTACGTTTCCTTTTAATATAAGTGAAAATTTTATCAGCAACATATGGCTCTATACACGTTCGTCTAATTTGTCCTTTTCGTTCACTTAAAAATCTAAATGTTAGGTCTGCTAATCTTTTCGATAGTTAGTTATGTCGGATTTACCCAGATCGTATTTGCTTTTGACTTGCGCTCGAGAGTTCTGAGAAAGACTTTAGACAATTGAAATATTTATGATGGATTATTTACGTCAGTAATAAATTATTAATTGGGTATATTATCGAAAGTATATAACCATTGTTATCAGTAGATAAATATTAATAGCCTCTTTAACTGTCATGTAGACTCGTAGTTTTCTACTGTAGGCATAAAATGTTTATTAGTTTAGGACACTTAATATAAACGAAGATAAAGCTTAAGTACCATATGATGAGCGTATTAAACGTTCGTGTCGCGAACAATATCAATGGCCACGTGCAAGTCTGATCGTCCTTGTATATATATATATATATATACATATATACACGATGTGATTCATGTCTGTTTCTTACACAATCTGAGACCGGCCAGGTGCAGAAAAGTCGTCTGCTTGTTTGTGAACAGTGTGTCTCACTATTTTGCAAAGCGCGACTTTCGCGAGGGAGCAAAACGACGAACTCATTTGACGGAAACTACACCGTTTTTAAGCACATAATCGTTGCAGCGTTTTGCGTAATGATGGTAGAAATATTACGCGGAGCCGCTCGTTGCGACCGCGTATTGGTTAGTCGTCGAATCGTTCTCCCAAAAATCGAAGAGGCAGCTGAGGGGATGTGTCTCATGGTGCTCAATTGTGCCGGTGAGTGATCTTCATTGTTTTGAAGTTAGCAATGGAAGATAAGCAAAGCATAGTAGAACGGCGTCGTATGTTAAATAAAAATAAATAATTAAGCAAAAATCCCTGAATTAAAGTATCAAGCTGAAAAATCTTTCAGCTTTACAGTTTCCAAGACTAACTTACTCAGTTAATTGTGTGACCTATTGACAAACTTATTTTGAGTGTTTAGTTAATTGTTCCTAGTCAGAAAAGAGTCGACTACTAAACGACATTATTTACACTACTAAGTGTTCGTATGTATTCCTAATACTTACTAATATCTGTTCCACATCTTGTTTCATCTTTGCCAAGTATAGGTGACAAGTAATTTAGATTCATTGTAATTATAAGTAAATAACGCTACAATAAAGAAGAATAAAATGCTACATTGATACTTACCAAGTTCATTAGTAAACTCGTAGGTACAAAGGTTGAATTAGATCATATATATGACCTTACGGATTTAAACCGGGACGCATGTGGCGTCAACCCTTCGCTACAGTCTGAAGCTAAAAAATCCTATGTTTTTTTCCACGTGAAATTAAAAGACACCGAAGCACTTGAAAGCAAAGCACCTGGTGTACCAATTATTATCATGACTGTAGAGCTTAATGTATAAAAGAAACAAAAAAAACTCTCGCCGACGGTCTTCATAAAGATAAAGCTGCGACATTAGCAGAGTATGCCGTACAGAAACGTCATTTCGTTTTGCCTCACTCAAATTCTCTGCTGGCTCTAGTGACTGGTTCGTTCAGCATACGAAAGAAATTATACGTATAGTATTTTTCGTAACTGAAATATAATGCACAGATAAAAGTTTACACTTTTTAAACGTCTCCCAACATTCTTTCAAATACGATTTTTGCACTAGATTGCAAAGTGGAACACATGTTCTATTGCTTTCATTTTTTCCTCCTATCTCAGGCTATTAATGGGAGTAACATCTCCTTTCATTATAGTTGCCAGGTCTGTTTACATTAAATCCTTATCGCTTCCTTCACTTAAAATAGACTGGTGATGCACTGACGAGTGCAGCCCCATACCTTTCTTACACATGTTCATTCACTGCAATACTGTTTGTTTATGTAAACGTTTATAATACTTGTTTCATACTGCCATATTAAATAAATAATAACGTGTTTATTAGTATTACGACAATGTTGCTGCATTATTGCGACGCTGTATTTTCGGCTTTCATTTATGATAAACGCCTGGTGCACCCAATCCCACCATTTTAAATAGTCACGCATGATTTCAATTCTTGGTTGTACACTGGGGTTAACACATTTGAAATCTGTTATAGCATGGTAATTAAAAAAACTCTTTTTCTTAAGTGTATTTTGAAATTTTGCTGCTTCATAACAGTCTATTTTGTTTCAACTAGGTCCAAGATTTCGTTAAATATTTATTCGTATTTATTTCAATTTGCCAGGTAAACAAGCTCATCAAACGCTGGAGGCTCTCATCGAGGAGGGGATCATAAAAGAGGGAACATTCAAAGAAATCTACAACAACATCTATACCGTAGAGCAATTTGCAGGTGAGCTAAAAAGCAATAACTTTTTTTTATTAATATTCGATAATCCCAATTTTAAATCTAATATGAATAATAAAATAACACCAATTATTATACTTTTCATTGAAATTCTATAAGTCATTAAGTATTTGAAAACTAATTCCTGAAAAGATTTCAAGGATAGTTGTATGGCATCCAAAAAAGTGTATTAAAATGGATCATTTAGCACCTAATTTTATGTTCATAATTATGTCCCATTCCAGACACTTATTGTGCAAGTACTTCATTTTCCGTTACCATTAAAGATCAACAGATTCGTGTATATTTTCAAGAGCCCTCTGAAATCCATGAAAATCACTATGGCCGTTGTACACCCGATGGGTTTGCCTGTGGAATTCACGACACCGACGTGTGGCACAAGCTTCTCAAAGGTCAGACGTCGACAAATGAATTTGTGTTAACACGGTCATACCACATGGACTGTGAGCCTGATTGGACATGTGACCACCTTCCTGTAGCTCTATCTCCTGAACAACAAAACATGCTAGAACTTGGGCTCCCTCTTAGTTTTGGTCATGCAAAGACGTTCAGTCGGCTAAGTGACGAGGCCATCGTGGCCGAACTGGATAGCCAAATGGTGGAAAAAGACTATGATAAGGAACTCGCGGATCTAAGTTCGTCAACGGAACGTATGAGCCTCTCGAGGTCATCACGTCCAGAAAGCATGGAGTTGATTGTACGTGATGAAGCATGCGGTAGCCCCACACTACTGACTGACGCAATTACTGCTGCTCAAGTTCCCATACCTGGATCATTGAAATTTGACGAGTTCAAAGAATACTGGTCAACCAATTGGCAGCAAATCGTTGAAGAAGAGTGGCGGCAGCGGTATGGAGAGTACATGACGCATCCTACAACAACTGAACTAGGGGTGGCTGGTCAAAGCCGTGATGACGGCGTCGGTTTGGACACGGATGAGAATAAGCTATCGTCGACTGACAATTATAACCTCTACTCCGGAGAATGGGAAAAACTATGGGTGCAATTGGCTACTGACTTATACTATGCGCTCATGAATAAACTTGTGCCTCAAGAAGAACTTAGGGGATTAGGTACCAATGCACAATATATGTTGACGAAATCGAATGAGGGATACATGGAGAAGCGAAATTCAGAAACCAGTTCTGCGAGATTCGATACAAATGAACAAAACATATCAATGGATTCGAAGGCGGGACCCATCAAGCAGGGTACTATCGGATCTGGTACAGATGAGCAAAATATATCGATGATTAGTCAGGGAGATTCAG